TAAGTGGGCTGTGCTTGCTGTTGCCATAACTTTGTGCGTGCTCATCTGCCATACCAGCTTAGGGAGCTTCTTCCAAAGAACTGTTTAGTACAGATGGCAGATACTGTAAGTGTCTTTGGGTATAAGAACTTAACTGTAAATGTATAAATGCATTTAGTTAACTAATCCCCTCCCACTTTGAGTAGGACTTTAAGTGATAACTTAAGCATTGGTCCTAGAGCATCTCAAACCATAAATAAGGGGCCAAAGTGGGATTTCAGAGATGGCTGCCTTTGGTGCAAATACCGTGCTTTGCAATCACTTCGTTCTTTTGGGTGGGACCTTTAAAACCTCCTCATGCTTGTTAGCTTTCTTCCTGGATGCTCCTGTTGCCCTTGGTCTGGCAGCATTTCTGAAGTAAGAGGTGCTAGGCCACTCAGGATGGAGGTTGCTAGAGGAACACAGAAAATAATCTACTTTGTCCGTGTGATCTCCCCTTGTGCTGCACCCAACGCATGTTGGCTTGGGTGAAGAGAGTGGAAGAGCCTCTCCCAGGAGGGTTTCTGTAGCCATTCACAAGAATGGTCTTTGAGAACATCACTTGACGTGTGGATAAAACTAGAGGTATTAATGCATGCTTTTACCATGTCATCTTAGCAAACCATTTTCTCCAATAAATGTGACAAGCTAACCCAGGGCTTGCAGAGAGGCTGAAGGAATTTGTCCCTAAATCCCAGAGGAGCTCAGTCCTGGGAGGTGTTTGGGATACTGTTGTTTTGAAAATCTTGGAGGTGACTGTCAGGGAGAGGAATATGAGAAAGTTACTTTCTTCTCCTTCAGAGTTGGTCAATTTATAAATGTTTGGCTAATCTTATTACCTCATCTTGCCTGGGATGGTAGATGGGATAGATAGCTGTGCTCTGGTTATTTGGGCCCTTTTGTGCTAAGGGAGCACATGACCTTATTTTGAAAGTGTAAAAACTTCTGCAGGAACAAATAGTGTAAAGAGGAAAACGTAGCTTTCTTTACTTTCCCCCATGACAGGCTTTGAAAATTCTGTCATTATTTTGTAATACAATGTAGTTACAATCCTGTCCGTCAGTATGAAACTGGAAAATATTTTCAGCTCAAAATAAACTCCACAAGGAGAATAGTTTCCATGTTATCCCCTACTCAGAGAAAAGCTACTGGACTTTACTCCTAAATAAAGATTTCAGCCGACTTTGGTGCTTTAAGAAACAGTAGTGGTTGTCCTAAATTTGACCTCAAGCTTAACAATTCTGCTTTTCTATATTGCTCTGTGCGTTGACCAAGTCAATGGAGCAAGTTTCACATTGGCTTCTCAGTGTTGCTGGTGCTTTCAGTCACTTTGAGAGTGGTTACAGGTGTGTAAAATGTAAGATGGAAAACTTTCCAAAGTGTATGTAGTGAGCCACTGGTTAGTTGGCAAGTCATTTTCAAAGCGTGCAGTTGTCTTTTTCCTTCTTTAGCCCTGCTGGGAAAAACCCATTAACCTGTGATTGAGAAGGCAATGATTTTGCTTGGTTTTGATACAGTTAGACTTATTTTGTAAGTGGGAGATGCTTCTAATGTATTTAGCAGTAAATCATCCTTGAAGCCAGCCCTCTAAACAGTGGTTCCTCCTGTTCTTTCTCCTGATGGGGCTACTGGGATCTTGTTGCTGAATTTGCAGAAGATAATGGCCAATCCCCTTGATTTCTTTTTTTTCTCTTCTAATTTCAGTGATCATCAGGGATCACATGCATCACTCATTTTGAATGCATTTTTAAAAGTAGCAATTCCAATTTGTTTAGAACTTGGAAGTTTTCTCTCGCGTTAGCTAATTATGGCTATTATGCTCTGTTGTCACTATTGTCTCTCAGGTTATTTTTGAAAATTAAAGGTGGAAAGTGACTGCATGACAATGAAACTCATCAACAAGGCTCCCCGAAACTATTGTGAGTCACCCTTGCTGATTTTAGTAACGAAAGTAAGTTTTCTTTTACAACTGTTGACTCCTGCAAGCCCCGCAGTTACTCATTGCGGGAGCAGGAGCTGGTATGGGATGAGCTGGCATGCCTTGGGAAGAGCCACTGCCACCAGAGCACGTCAGGGAGGCATCTCACCCGCCTGCAGCTCCTGTCTGGCCCATCAGCCAGCTTCTCGCTTCTCCACCTCTAGCCTGGGGCTAAGCTGTTAAGCTTTTTACTAGCTTTTGGATCTTCTTGGTCTTCATCAATTTTATTAAAAATACTGAAGCTGAATAGTGCTGTCCTGAGGAAGGAGGAGTAGCTGGTTCTTGGCAAAAGCTTGTATTTCAGTGGTGGAACAGAGAGGATAAGGTCCTGGATTTACATAATTGTTTATGCCATTTTTTTTCCCCTCCCTGGTCATTTCTCTCGTCTGATCTTTTGTCTGTATAACTGCACTAAAGTTACAGTGAATGAGTGGAAAACATCAGCAGGGCAGACAGGCTATGGTATGCAGCACTCATCTTCAGGGGAAAAGCAAATGGGAGAGTGGTTAAGGACCTCTTACTTTAACCTCACACAGGAAGCACAATTTCAAATTACCTTTTTCTGCTCCTTCCTGCTTTGTTTTTGCAAGGAATTGCCTCTAGTAGAGGTCAGAGACATTGGCCAGCTTCTCTAATGCGAGCTGCCACCCCAGTGGAGCTGTCAGTCTGGGTGAGCTGATGGTCTGCCCTCGGGTCTGAAGTTCTTCAGTTCCCAAATAATGATTCACTTTCCTTCCAGCTGCCTTGCTGTTCCTCAGATAGCATTCCCACTCCTGGTGGGAACCAGAGCTTTATATTGCATGTTATACTGAGGCATAGCCCTACCTCTAGCAGGCTGGGGTTTGGAGAGGCTTCCCATAGGGTCAGGGGCAATATAACTAACGGCTAGTGAGAGTTATGGGTGTCCTTTAAAGCACCCGTTGCACAGCGCTCACACCACACCAGATGAGATGGACCATGGAACTGATGCACAATGGCAATTTGTCTTTTTTTTTTTTTTTCTTTCCTAATCTCTCTCCAGGATTTCTTCATCCCATCACTGCTTGGTGCCCTACTTGCAGCTGGGAGCATAATGAATGTGTCTTTTGGGGGGTAGTTGACTTCCAGAATTTGGAAACTTCCTGGTACTGTGCTGAAGAGAGGTGGAGAGGGAGAAATACATTAGTAAATCACACAGATGAAGCCATAAGGCATCAATCTGGAATGAGCTTGGCTTGTATCTTAATGGCTTAATGTAAAACTGTAACACCTAAATTGCGCAGCAGAGCAACTGAGACAATCTTTTAGAAGTGGTGTATGTAATAATAAATAAAAAAAAATTGTTAGCAGGGTGTCACTAAACGTATAGATTGTTAGTGCTGCCATTGCTTATGCATTGCTTTTCTTTTCTGTAATTATCATGACTGGTATTTTTAGGGTAGTTTTGCAGCTTGTCTATTTTCTGCCAAGTTGGCTAAAAATGTTGGTCTCGTGTGACATGATGTGCTGGTTTTGGCTGGGATAGAGTTAATTTTCTTCATAGTAGCTCGTATGGGGCTATGTTTTGGATTTGTGCTGAAAACTGCTGATAACCCAGGGATGTTTGCATTACTGCTGAGTAGGGCTTATACAGAGCCAAGGTCTTTTCTGCTCCTCACCCCCCACCAGTGAGCAGGCTGAGGGGGTACAAGGAGCTGGGAGGGGACACGGCTGGGACAGCTGACCCCAACTGGCCAAAGGGATATCCCACACCGTATGATGTCGTGCTCAGCACATAGAGCTGGGGGAAAGAGAAGGAAGGGGAGGATGTTCAGAGTGATGTCTTCCCAAGTAAGCGTGATGGAGTCCTGCTTTCCTGGGGATGGATGAACCCCTGCCTGCCAGTGGGAAGGAGGGAATGAATTCTTTGTTTTGCTTTGCTTGCCTACGCAGCTTTTGCTTTACCCATTTAACTGTCATTATCTCAACCCATGTGTTTTCTCACTTTAATTCTTCTGATTCTCTTCCCCCATCCCCCCGGGGGCAAGTGAGCAAGCGAGCGGCTGTGTGGGGCTTAGTTGCTGGTTGGGGTTAAACCATGACATATAATAAATATTTTCTTGGAAAACTGATGCCTTATATATTCTGAACTTCCCTTTCTGCTGACATCTGTAAAATTGCAACAGCAGGAGCTGGAGGAAAGGTGTCCCTTTTTTATTAAAGCCTGTGCATATGGCTGTTACAGTCTTAAGAGTAGCTTGAATAGTCTTTGCAGATAAAGCTGATAGACTGGAATGTTTTTGTTTGCTTTAGCTCTTGGGTGGTATTAGCCTTAGCTGTAACCTCTTTCAGTTTCTGTTATCTTTTTATATGGACTTGCTAGAGCTCTGATCCTGCAGTGAAATCCATGCAGATAGAGTCCTTCTGCACCGAGGTCTGAGGTCGCAGTAATGAGGCCAAACACCGAGCGTGGGGCTGCTGCCGTACTGTGCTCGTGTGGCGCCTGCCTCTCCGCCTGGCAGAGCTCAGTCTTTCCCACTGGAGTCATAGGGCTTTTCTGGTTTTATTTAGTGACTTATTTTAGGGTTGCCCTGACAGGAGCTTTTCTCTAACGCCTTTCTTGCCTGCGTTCAGAAGGTGGTTAGGTACACGTTTCTTTAGAGGCGTTAAGGACTGCATGTTGCTGGTGCCCTACCCCAGGGCTTGCCCCTGCAATCCTGCCTGAGATCTGACCTGCAGCAGTTCTCCCACCATCAGCCAGCCCTGCTCAGACATCCCTGGAGCCTCAGCACGGGTTGAGCATATCCCTGCTGCTTAAAATGACCACCCGGAACAATGTGTCTCCTCGCACGTTAGGTATGTGAAGACTGTGCTTAATCTGAAATTTCAAGGTTGTAGTAAGAACTGAACCTCTTGGTAAAAGTGGAAATTGCTGTATGTCCTTTTTTCAATAACACCCTTCAATTCCAGGCAGGCTATGGGGTGCTACTGGGTAGTACTTGGGTGGAAAAGGTCTTGGGGAAAAAACATCATTGGTGTGCTCTTCCAGATGAGGTACAGCTCATGGACGAGCCTTCGCCTTGTGCGTTTGGGCAGTGTTGTGTAGATAGTCCTGGGGGTTTCCTACCTGGCTCTTGCAGTGGCTCACTGTACGTGCTATTGCAGCTGGTATTGTTGGGGATGCTACAGCAAAATACCAGCCAGAATTCGTGACAGGCTAATGCACTATTTGTGTTATTGATTTTTGGACTTTGCTGTCATTCGGGATTTTAGCTTACTGATATAAGCAAAATAAAAGCAAATCTGTGGAAAAGCAGAACTTGAACTTTAGGCTAATGAAGCTGTATTGTGTCTGACAAATGGGTAGCTAATCAGCTGGAAAAGGGGGAGGGTTGACTTTTAATGAGAAGTTATTAGATGTTGAATAGCTGTTAAATTGCTATACTAATAAAATGGACAATCCTCTCTAGCTTGTCTCCTTAAAGTATTCTATTAATTGAGACCCCCCTTTAATCCATTCTTCTAAAAATTAATTAACACTTTGAAAAACACTTCTTTGACTGTAGTGACCTGATACAGATTAAATTGTATAAAGCTATGTCATGACTGCTTCCTTTATGTACTTTAGCTGCAGTTGAGGGGCTCTGATAATGCCAGCTTCATATGTAAGAGCTTAAGGCTTCTAAGAACAAGTCTAATGGGCTGACTTTTTTGTCATAGCATTTTGAATTGGCAGCAAATAAAAAAATAGAAATGAGATGAGAAACAGAGGCTGGTGCCTGGAGTGAGAACTTGGATATTATTTTCAGCTACTGATTTCGGGTTTGATTGTGAGCCAGCACTTGCAGTGAATTTTGGACTAAGCTGTCCAAACTTAACCTTCCCTCGGACAGTTACATTACCTGTAAAATGCAGTTAACTTTTATCGTTCAGAATAATTGTGCTCTTCTTCATGCCATGCTGTCACCAAAGTTGAAATGTTCAAGCCCTCTGGCTCCTTTACCTGCAAGGCACTGTTATGCTTTCTGGATATGCCAAAACCTCCAGCTTTTGGTGATATTTTTTTTTTTTTTCCCCCTGTCACGTTCCACCTGCCAATTCCAGAGGTTTTTAGATGCCATCACACTTGCAGCAGGCGAGGAAGGGTGGGAAGCATCTTCTCTCCTGGTCAGGCAGGTCTGGTGCTGTCCATTAGGGGCCAGCATACACGTATGCTCTTGATGTTGCCGTCTAAGATGAGTCCAGATCCTGAATCAGGTCACTGTTTACAAAGCAGATTTATGTCAGATATAAATACAGCTGTAATGCCCTTTAACGAAGGGCATGTGTGGCTCTTGCAAAGTCCGTGCGGCGCTCCTGCTGTCTGATAGCTGACACTTGAAGCTGCAGCAGCGAGGATGGAGAAATTCTCAAGGTGTGAAACAACTGGCCAGACCATAGTGAGAATTGTAAAGACAGGACAGGAAAGTGTGCCCCTCGATCAAGGCCTTCAGAGCTGTCCCTGAAATCTGAACTAATAGGGTTTGACACTTTCTGCTCAGTGCTTTGCTTCCTCTGCTGTTGTCAGGCTGGAACAAGGTTTCCATCCTATGGCGCATCTAATGAACAAGAAAACTGTGTGCCATAGCCTTTGTGGACTTGCTTTTGTAATGCTTTCTTACAGCGGACAGTTCAAAAAAGGACACTGCAGATACAATTTGGATATTTGGTGGGGAACAGAGGGGAAAAGTTTATTTGAACCGGCCTTGGAGTCAGGAAACAGATTTTGTGTGTTTCATTTTGACCCTCATAAATTGCTTTCTTTTGCTCCATGTGTAGAGAATGATCCCTTGTTACAGGACACCCCGACTTGTGAAGTTTAATTTTTAGCTGGAATCAAATTTACTTTGAGGAATAAAACCACACAGAATTCCCCACAAGTCCTCAAGGAACATGGGATATCCACCCTTGGGAAAACTCTCTGCTTGCCTTGTTGGGCTGAAACCACAATATGTGGTCTAGGGCTGGTGAACGCTTTGTTATGTCCAGAAATTCTCTGTAGGAAAGAGAATAGTGTCCTGGAGAGGAGTCGGAGTGAAGCCAGATCTTGGCTTTTTGAAACTGGTGGCAGTGGAGAGAGGCTATGGGAGTGGTTTGACAGCAAAATAATAAAAGGCCAAATGAATTGCTTCAGAATTTTGTCTTGTGGATTTGACAGCTGAAAAGTTAGTTTGCTTTGCTATTCCCAAGATATTCTTGCCACTGTTGGGTTCAGAGCACAGCTTAATTACATCTGATAATGTTATCCACAGCAAGGATTATTTGCACAGGGTTTTGAGGATACTGCTTTAAGTGAAGGTTTAAGCATCTTTTGATTTTTGACTCATTTCTTTCTTTGTCATTTGTAGAAACAGTCAAGAGAGCTGTAGCCCTTGTAGAAGAGGGAGGGCTGAGCATTTCGTTGTGGCTGTGCTTATCCTGAGTGTTATAAAGCCACACACGGTGCAGGCTGCCTGGGTTGCTCTGCCAGTCTTCATTCAAGTTACTGCTTCAAGCAAATCTGGATCTACCCAGACTTAAACCAGAAAAGTTCTTGAAGCTCTCAGGTGCTTTCCTGTAGGAAGAGGGCATGTCTGTGTGCTACAGGAGGTGGGGTGGGATGTGTGAAGAGAACCTCGAGGTCCTTGGAGAGATTTATTAACTGTGACAATTTCCAGGAATTATTTTATTTTCTGCAAAAATTACTGATAGCTCCAAAGTCAGCTGGTAAGAATTAAAATTTCTTTTGCATTTTATTCTTGCAGAATTGGGCTAGTTATCAGGGAAATTTCATTTACTTGAGCTCCCCTACTCCCTCCCCCCCCTTATTTAAAAAAAAAAAAAAAAAAAAATTTGTGGCAAAAGCTGGACCCAGGAACTCCTGAATCTGCTCTGTCACTAATCGTCACTAATCCTCTTGGATGTTGGGCCAGATAACTTTTCTCCCTGGACCATAATTTCCTTGCAAATGAGGGATAATGATAGTTGCCCTAGCTCCTGAGGCCAGGGCCAAGCTTTAATGCATCCATCAAGCGCTGCAAGGAGTGCAGCTGGGCACCAGCCAGGCACTACTGCTCCTGTAGGTCTGGAGCAGCCACTCTGCTCTGCGTGTGCTTACTCAGTTGGGTGACTCAGTCAAATAGCGTTATTTCTTCTTTTCTTGCCAGTACCTGCATTTGCCGTGTTAGGCACTGCTCGCTGTCCTGGGCTTGTGGAGAATTTTTTTTTTTTTTTTTTTTTTTTTTTTTTTGAGCCTGCCCTGATGGGACTTGGGGGTTTTGGACTGAGGGTGTCCAGGCTGGCTGGAGGTGCTCATGTTCCTTTCACGGTGCTGTTTTCTTTCTCTATTATATCATATCTTGTTTCACAACAACTCTGCAAAATAATGGAGATAGTAATTGAATTGCATGTCAAGAAAACAAAACAAATGCAAGACTATACAGCTGGTCCTGAGTCTAATCTAGGAAGGGCTTATAAGCATTATGTAGGAATATGTCATACTTTGAGTTCAGAAAAGCTTGTACAGAAGTTAAATATACAAAGGTGCAGCTGGCTTCCCTCCTGGGAGTGACAGTGTCACCCTCTGCAGTGTAATCAGCCTCCTCTGGTCCAATTCTGTCTCAGCACCTGGGTGTTCTATTATGATTAACTTTACTGCAGGTGTTCTCTGCCTTGACGTTTGTGAAGGTTCCTCTCTGTTGTGGGAAATCTGAAGATGGATGGCTCTGGCGGTAGAGAAGTATTGGGGCTGTTGAGTGCAGGTGGTTGGTACATTCAGAGAAGGAGCTGAAGAGGTGATTAAAAAAGAAAAAAAAATAGTAAGAAGGTGAAACCAAATGTGTGTGTGTGTGGTTTGTTTTGTTTTTTTAAAATAGCACTTTAAATGCTTTGCAGGTATCTGTTGTGGATGCTTTTAAAGTTTCATTTCTAGGGTTTGCTTACATTGGAAGTATAGATATAATTTGACTTCTATTTTCTCTCTCAATGCCATATGGCAGGGCATCCCACACTTTCTCTTGTCTCTCCAGCCTGTATCTAACTGCAAAATACATGTTCAATTTGCCTCCCGCATTGTGTCCGCTTCCGTTTCTTTGCTGTGAAAGCTTGTTATTTAGGAAAAAAAAAAGGCACCGATAAGTAGTGTGGTTTTTCCAAGTTTCTAGCTAACCTAATAAATCGGGACCTTACAGGAGTTTGGGGGTTACAGTGGGGGATGCTGATGTCTCAAGCAGATTCCAATTTAACTCCACTCTCTAATTGTAAAGTTTTGATTTTCTTAGACTTGTCTCTGCATTGTAGCTGCTTTTCCTCTGCTTATGCTCTTGAAAAGTCACCATGGTCTGATGGATTTATCCATGTACCTTTCTGCTTCCCAAATTCTGCATTAAGTTTCCAGCTTCACCTATATTTTAAGTGATCACAATGTCCCTTAGGGTTGTTTTTGGGGCAGTGTGGGGTTTTCCCAGGGGAGGTGGGAGTTGGAGATGTGGATTAACGCTTGGCAGTATCCTTGGGGTCTCTCATTGCCTCAACTGGCCATTGCATCCTGGTTTGGAAGAAGCACGTGAGACACCCTCCAGCTGCAAAGGGGCTCTTTAACCTGGCGTGGAGAAGTAAAAATGGAGCTTCAGGCCTTAGTCTTGCTTCGGGGCTTCTCATTTCACCAAGCACAGCGGTCACAGCAGCTTCCAGGATGTTTGGCGCTGGTCCTGGGCTTGTCACCCCTGGGGATGACTGGGCAGTAGTGTAGGAAAGCGTTGGCAGCCAGCAGCGCTCCAGCAGTGAGTCACCACACTGTTAGAGGGAGAATTAGCACCAGGAATTGTCTTTGTCATTATACAAACTCTGGGGGAAATGTGCCGGGATGTATATCCCTCCTGGCTGCGTAATGGAAAAATAACTCTTCTAGCATTGGGGTTAGGCTGCTTGGGGCCAGTCTTGGGTCTTAATAGTTAGGTGGACCAATATTGTGTAGTTCTTAGGAAATCTGCCCTTTTTTAGAGCTTTAAAACTGCTTCAGCCTCACTTGTTTTGCA